TTGAGATATATATAAAATCCTTAAGTTATCACTCACATTTGTTGGTTGTCAATGAATGTCAGCGGTGTGAATACGTCTACATAAAAAATATTGGAGAACAAAGAATAATCTTCTAACCATATTTGCTTGAAAATCAAGCAGCCAATTACAGAAACACATGACTATAACATGTGAGTTTTCCGAAATAAATGACGGAAAATATAATGGGCTTAAAGACTAACCTCCTGAAATTCAAATGACCAACTAAATCATCCAGGGGCATACGTTGATCTAAAAACAAATTAGAATAAACCGAATTAGTCTACACAAACAAGGGAAAAGAGATAAATGACTTACAGGCTTACCTTTTTACCATATTCAAAAGTCATCACATTTGGAAGAATAAAATTTATAGATCAAGCACAAAATTTTAAGTATACATGATATAATGTGTGTCTAATAAGCTCAGAAATTTGTAGTATTCAATTAACAACAGAAAAGAGAAATTGATAGCACATTAAATCAAATTAGAGACAGAATGTTGATATTAAACTCACAGGAATGATAATTAACAAAAAGAAGTAACACAATATATAAATTGATAAAAATGCAGCATATATTTAAGACATAGATTCAAGGTAAATTGAACTTGCATTATCTTCACGCCTGCAATTAAAAAGAAGGTGCGCGCTACATATCATGGTATGGGAAAACTGACAGTTTTGGGGGATGTTTTTGAAACCTAAGGGCTGATTTTCATGAGAAATTTGGTACTTTAAGTGCTGATTTTCAAAGAGAATGAGATATACTGAAGGTCTACTAAGACAATGTTTAGTTCTAGAAAATTGGGAGAAAACAAAAACACTACAACAAAATAAATGGAGATGAAAGGAGTCCAGTGCTTAGGCCTCATATTAATGTCATCAAGCCATCACTAAAAAGGCATAAACAAATTTTATCTATAGAAGTGGGTGGAGTTCCAGCGGATTCCTAAGTTTTCTAACACAAATTGATGTGAATTTGAACTTTAAAAAATTTGAATAATCCCAAAATTTTTTGAGGCCTAAAGCTGGGAATTTGAAGTCTTAAAAATTGAATAAGTGTATTAAAAATTGGGTGAATTTCTGAATAGAGTGAATTATAAAACTCTTGAACTTCTAGAAGAGGATGAACTTTAATTGGGTTTCATTTTTTTCAGCCACAAAAAGGTGTGATCCTGACCCTTTTTCATAGTTTTTTTCATAGTTTCCTAAGTTTTCAAACCATCTATAGAAGAGTGAATTATAAAACTATTTTTTTCATAGTTTCCTAAGTTTTCAAACCATTTTTATGCGATCCTGACCCTTAGATCTCACAATCTAAAGCATCAGATTCATTTTTATTTCTTTCACAAGATCACATTCTCACAAGAACCAATATATATATATATCAGGGCCGGTCTTGAGGATTCATCAGCCTGGGTTGAAACAGAAAAAAGGCTCTAAGTATTTCTTCATCTTGTTTTCTCTTTTTTCTTTTTTGACTACCCGATAATTGTTTAGGGGCCATAGCTATTGAATTATTTCTAAAATAAAATTCAAATTCATAAATTCTACTAAGTAAAATCAAGAATAAAAAAGTAAAAAAAGCAAGAAAATAAATAAATATATCATAATTAATATCAATTCGTCAATTTTTCTTTTTCAATTGTTTTTTTATTTTTCAGTTTTATTTTTTTTATAAATCATAAATTCATAGCAATTCATCAATTTATCAGTTTTTAATTTTTTTTTTGGTTTTCAGTTTTTTTTAATATAAATATATAATTATCATAAAAAACAAATTCATATCAATTTATCCAAATCAGATAAATAAAATATAGAACCATTCATTCATTCTATTTCAATGAATGAAAATAGAAAAGATTTCAAATTAAAAACTAATAATTAACCCTAGATTTTAAATCAAAAAGATGAAACAATGAAATAAAATTAAGATTTAAGAAATAAAAATTAAAAAATTGAAAAGGCAAGGCTATGAATAATTACCTAGAGGGTGGACGCGTGCAGGTCCGGCGATAGAGACGGCGAGTCGAGCAGTCGGCTCTCTTGTTTCTTCCGGTGACGTTTCTGGCTTTCTGCGTTTCTTCGGACTTCGATCGGCCTTGCACTGCTTTTCTTCGGTTTTTTTGGGTCTACACTCTACAGAATACGGATGAAGTGATTGACCGATGGAGACATGGAGACATTCGGCTGGGCTAGAGTCCTAGAGGTAATAAGTTAAGGGGTGGCATGTGCATTGGGCCTGGGCTTATACATATACATAGTATATAATACTTGAAAAAAATTTTGTGCCCCTAAATATTTTGGGCCCGGCCCGGACGGACACCTTGTCCCTCTATTGGGCCGGCCCTGATATATATATATATATATATATATATATATATATATATATATATATTCAAAACATTGTAATACTAGAGAAAATAATTTCCCTTCACATCACTTTTTTTAATTTTTGGTAAGAAAAAAAGTTTTTTTTCTAAAAAAATCAATTTTTGTTGTAGATATCTAAAAACATGTTTTGAGATAATCTAAAAATACCTTAGCAACATGCGACCGTGAGTTGACTGTTTTATTTTACTTCTATCAAATAGTCAATAAAAATATTTTTAAAAATTAAGTAATAACCATGTAAATAATAAATATGACTGAAGATAACCCCATGTCATCCTATAGTTTGACCATCGGCTGGACTCCACATCTAGGTAAGCTCAGAAGAGGGCCCTAGAAGTGGACGGGCTCGGTCTTTGGCTAGGCTCGGTAGGGGCGAGCTCGGCTCGGACCTCGAGACCTCAAGCTCCTTTCTTCTCGGCTCGGACAAGATGATAGTGATGGGAGGACATCGACCAGATGATAGGACCTGGATAACGGCTAGATGGAAAGAGTAGACTCTGAGGACCAGGTGACGTTTACTAGGCGATAAGTATCATTCACGGGGGTTGACTGAGTTATTTCGTTGAATTTATAAATAGGCCAAGGTCTTCTCATTGTAAAGGATCCAATTTCAAGCTAATAATACTCCTACTTTGCACTTTCTCTCTCTCTCTCTCTCTAAACTTTACATATCCAAGCTTACGTAGCTGACCGATCCCACGGTGGATATCTTTGGTTGTTTATTTCCATCAAATTGGTGCTTTCATTGAGAGAAGAGAAACATACTCGTGGGTTAAATCCCAAGAACGAGAATGATACAGACAAGGAGCAACGACCCTACCACCAGCCACGCCCCAGGGAACAGCTCGGGCAACGGTAACGGGACCGGGGCGATCACCTCGACTCCTGATGCGGTCCAGGCATTGTTTGGGATGGGGGTGATTACAAGGCAGCTCCAGACTACCGTTGCAACTCTCTCTGCCATTGGCGGGAGTAGACACGGCAACGGAGCCACCCAGGCCCCAAGAGACCCTATCATCGAGCATGATGCCACTTCCCAACACAAGGGGAAGAAGACTCGAAGGTGTCGGAGGAGGCCCGACAAGGCCTTAGTGTTTGAGGAAGTGCTGGTAGGGGACATCCCGGAAGGGCAGGATGACGACTCCAACAAGGGTCGAGTGTCGGCCTTCAAGCGGCTGAGGGGTGAGGAGACTCGCGTGTCGACCGGCTCAACCATGGACGCGACGGCCTCCAAGGCGATCTACGCCGGCAGATGTCGGAGGGCAGGCGGAGGCACGCCGAGGAATCGGCAACCTCGAATATAGCTTTTTCAAAATAAATCATTCAAGATAATATTGGAGTAGTTCAATGTTACAGAAGCTGAATAAATAACAATTTCAAAACATATTAGTTTAATGTCTTTTTAAACATCAATGCATTTCACACATCCACCTTAACTATCTCGCCCCGTCTGCCTCTAGAAAACGTCACTTCATTCTTTTTGTTTACCTGCATGTAGCAAATAAAACATACTACACGCTCAGTGTTGAAACTGAGTAAGCATATCTAATGCGTCCAACATCCATATAAAAAATAGGGTAATCCCCCAAACGAGTAGGTACCTTCGCTTAAAGTCAACCAGAATCCGACAACGTAATGTTCATTGTTAGGTTGGGTGGTACCCCCAAACGAGTAGGTACTCAAGTTTGGTTCTTGGATCCTGCACGTACGTTTTAACCCTGACCACCGTGCATTGTACTCGCAAGGTCTAACTTAATTGGGTATATCTTAGAGTTTTTCTAGATACCCTTCAAAATCAACATCACTATGGGAATATCTTAGAATTCTTCTAGATACCCTTAACAATACATATTATTTTCACAATCATCAATATATTCATTATGATTTAATCATTCATGATTAGCCTTTTAATTAGAATATTCATCATATTTTAAGCATCATAATCATCAACCAATAATCATCAACATAATCATCAATTAGTAATAATCATCATATTATTCAATAAAAAATAGCAGTTTAGTTTCGAGTGTTAACACCCTAGCTTACAATCATGCATCACACAAGATTTAATTTTTTAAAAACATCATTTTTATTTTGAAAAATCATCTTTATATTGTTCATAATTAAATGGTATCAAATATAGGATTTTAGAGCTCAAAAATAGCATTTTTGGAAACATTTTCGGAGCAGAATTTTTGGGGATCGTTCTAACACTCTGGATCGATCCATGTCTAGAGGAAACCAAACCCAAGGGATCGATCCACCCCTTGGATCGATCCAGCCTTGATAGTTTTCAGTCACTCTTCATCTTCTTCTTCATTCGGGTCCAATTTCAAAAATACCATTTTTAGTTATCAAATTTCAATTAAATTATATAGAAATGTTATCAAAGGTTCATAGATCATTTTGGTATCATTCATTCATAGTTTTAACATCAAATTCAAGGTTTATTATTCTTAATTTTTCAAGCATGTCAAACACAAAACTCAACCAAACGACCATTTATAAACGTATAAATAATCTATACGAACATTCTAGTCACTAGATATATCTACATGCTTACCTCAAAGTTGAGAATAATATTTGAATAAATCTTTTTATTATGTACTCGCTTAACAACAATTTAACATTTACCTTAAACGCTTTGAAAAGATTTTTTAATTGTAGCTTTTAATTTTAACGTATTTTGAATAAATACGGAGTATATCATATTCAGAATATTCAAAATATTAGTGCTAATTAAAAATGTGGATCCTAATTTTTTTAAATTTTTTTGTGTGGATAAAAATAGAGTTAAAGAAGAAGTCATTGTGGCGGAGAGGGAGTACGAATATTTACGGGATGATGATAGTTAACCCCCAAAAATACTAAATTCACTTCATATACTAATTTTACTCCGCTACTTTCTATACTATTTTTAATCTTGTGCTTCACACAGATTGTTGTTGGAACACACTTTGTATGTTTAACTAAAGTCGTGTTCATTTCTGACAGGTTTTGATAATTGCCAAACCGCCGTGGATATGAAGAGTTTTGCTGAATAATTCAAGGCGTGAAGAATGGCATGGAATAAGACCAAAAAGACTCAAGGACAAGATCAAGAATTGAAGACTTAGTCGAGTCGGTCTCTTGTGATCAAAACCGACAATCAATTCAAGTCTCGGTTCTCAAAGAGTCAAAATTATTTTACAATATCATAAAATGTTTTTATGCATCAAAATAAACATTTTAGATAAATCTTTTAATTGTTAAAATCCCTGGTCCTTGCTCAGAACCAAAATCACCTAAGTCGGCGTACGGTGTTCGGCGTTCGGTTTTTGGCGCCCGAACCAACTCGGTGGTTTTCTATGTTTTAAACCTTGTTTTTATCTCTGAGCATATTTAAAAGGATCCCAAATAATTATTTCATAAAAACCACTTTTGTATCTTGGTCAATCGGTCTAACACGTGAAAAACGGTCAAAACCGTACGCACGTGATGTACGACCTTGGAGACTTGGTTTTTACCGAACAAGCCTTGTTTTCACTATTTTATACCATATACAATGTTTTTCAAACTTGGTTTTTACTTTTGGGAACACTTCGTTTTTGGACCTCGGTTTTTCAAAACGGGTTTCAGTTGGCTAGACTTTAGCTGGGTGATAATCGATTATCACCTTAGTGACAATCGACTATCAGCCCCTGCAGCTTTGGAACTCCAAAGTTCTGAAGCACTCAATAATCGATTATCACTTATGCAATAATCGATTATCAACCTGAGCAGCCAAAACCCAGAATCTTCTGAGAGGACCAATAATCGATTATCACTTGTTGACAATCGATTATCTGGGTTACCGTTGTCCTCCAACGGATAGAATTTTAAATTTTTGGACAAGGAATCTTTTGATAATCGATTATTACGATTGGATAATCGACTATCAGCCTGTGTCTCTGAAAAATTTGTCTTCATCCTGTTGGAAATTCTAGCAACGGTTTTATCCCATTTTGGGCTATAAAATGGCACCCAAATCCTCTCATTTTATACACAATTCTTCAACATTTCAATACTCTTTCATTGCATAATCATTCCTATTTTTCTTAGCTATTTGAGAGCCAATTCTTGAAGAAATTGTCGTGTTCTTGAGCGTATATTAGTTCACTCATATCTACTCTTTGTGAGAGTTTTATTCCTGAGTGTTTAAGTGTTTTCATACACTGTAAGGGAGGTTGTTCCCTTGTTGTAAACTCGAAGGAAGTTCTTTGTTCCTTCGTGAGAAGTCTTGGAGTGCGGTATCTCCGAGCAAAGGTGTTGAGGCTCGTGTGATTCGGGTTCTCAAGTTGTATCGGTTTGTTAAGCACCCTTAAGCTTAACGGAGTTAGTGTAGCTCGAGAGAGTCTCTCGGGAGGCTGGATTAGCCACACGTTGTGGTGAACCAGGATAAAATTCGGTGTGCTCCTTCCTTACGCTCTTTACCTTTACGCTCTCATTTTT